CTCCTCATCAAGCGGAAGTCCGTCAGCTTCCGTCGATGCGATTCCCTTCGGGAATCAGCCGAAATTCACCAATGTCCAAAGCTAGCAACGCATCACGTTTTCACATAGGTGGATGGGAAAACCCTCGAAAGCTTGTAGCTTTCTACCTAGGCTTAGTCTGTTAGCACAAATTCGTGAGCTGGGCGAAGTCCGATTAACGACCTTGCCCAAAATGGGCTGTAACTGAATATCTCTAGAAGCCAGACGTTTTTCGCTTCTGCTTTTCGCCATCGCACAGATGCAGCTGATGATCGTCAATTCCACGCGATCCAAGATTAAAAATGTAAATTTACTTCGGGGGGTGGCCAGGGCTTCGGGTGTTTCGTATGCATGACGAGCTCATCGCGACGTCTTAATCGCTGAATCGTGTAAACAACCAGCAATTCGTCCTAAGGACGGCTGTCGCCGTTTTCCTTTCTCGAAAACGCTCCAGTCTGACGTTTTTCCCAAAAAATGGCTTGCTGAGAGGGTGCATGATAACGATTTGTGTGCGAATTATGAATATTGCTGCGATCGGATTGGATTCAATTTCTTCGGGTAGTTTTTTTTAACTTCGCCCCTTCCGGACCATTTCCCAGGAACAGTGATTTCACCTCAAAATCGGCTGTCGAGAAGGGTAGGCTATCAGACTGGCTTCTTCAGTTCATGAAGGAATGGCTCAGTCAAGAGCTTATTGAAGACTGCGCCGTTTTCTGATTAGTACCTTGAATCAGAGCACCTATGAAAAGGGTCCGAGCTAATGGTAAGATCAAACTTCTGCGAAACTGGGCCTCTATAAGTAAACTGCATCTGAATACAGCTTCAGAAGCAATCTTGTTCTTTAATTTTCGTTCATTGGGCAGGGTCCCTATCTCGTACTTCTCGATTTTGGGAGACGTTCAGTTCTCCTCCTGGGGTCAGGTCACCAGAGCTGCGCGATCATTGAAGCCTAAGGTTAAGTTTGGGTTTAGGCTTAGGTTTGGCTTATGCTTACACATTGGCTTATGCTTAAGCCTATGATTGGGCCTAGGCTTAGTCCTAAGCTTGCTTTGAGCAAATGAGTGTTGTCTCTTGGGTGACCTGACCTGAGGAGGAGAACTGCAACACACCCCTCGATTTTGTGTTACCGGCAAGCTGGAGCGGGCCAACAAGCAGGTGAAATCCAGTGTTAGTTCCATGTTGTTTGGCGGCTTGCCAAGCTCACGTTTGTTGGCCGTGGGTTACGCGAACGTTGTATAACTCGTGTTACACAGCAATATAAATGCTCGTGTTTCACGCGTGTCAACCGGCCACCTGTCCGCCACCCAGACAACTCTCGAGGATGTCACACCTCTTGTTGATGTCTCTGTTCTGTCATTTGGGAACAACTAACACTTGTAGTATCTGAGCCAAGGCAGTTGACGCAGAAACAATGAAATTTGGCGCTGAGAGATTGACGAGCTCTCCTTTGCCTCGTCATCGGGTGAGCGAACTAACAACACTCCACGTCTATTATAAGGCGAAGCTGCTGGCTCCGTATCGATGCCCCCAAAAGCTTCGTGCACACATCGGCCTCAGAAATATATCCAACATCCCGACGAGATAAGCGCCAAGTTCAGTTGGACAGAGCAAAGGGGTGCAGAAAGGAAAAAACAGAATATTTGAGATTCCACGAAGTGTTGCTGATCAGTGAGCTCTATTGGAGACACCGGTGATTTGCCTCTGCTCCTGAAAGTTTCAATCAAGCTCAAGAATTTCAGAAACATACGGCAAGCAGCCGATCTATGAAACCTACTAATGAGCGGGATCCCAAGCAAGTGAAAGCTATAAATTCCCTCAGAATGATAATGCGCTCCTTCGCTTCGGCGCAAAACTTTCTCATGAGCAAAAAGGAGGCCAAAGATGATTAATTGCCGGTGTTCTCCGACCAATTTATCATGTTGCTCCTCCACATGTTCAGTTTTTTCCGCAAATCATAGTCGTGTGTTGACGGTCAGTGTTTCTACCAACTGCTTGCTGTAACTCTCTTCAAATTGAACAAGTGCAGGAAAGTTTGGAAACCAAAACAAACTGACAAGCTGTTCATTTTGCTGTTCCAATCACAACGGCATATGTTCCAAAGTACTAGTGAAACCACGGGATGAGATGACTAGATTTTACGATTGGAAAGCAGCCCGTTGGAGTCAAGGTAGGAAAAAAACATGGGCGGCACAGAGCTCAAGAAATGGGACTCCTTCCTTGCTCTGTTTGCCGCATTGATGGACACTCTCATCGGTACTGCCCTCTTCAACGCTAACGCTCTCTCTCTGCCGAACTGGCTGGAGACCTGTGGCAAATGGCTAGCCAGTTGGTGGGCGTACCGCGCCGATAGCGCCACAGGACGGCCATGCTACGCCGGGGCATACCCTTCGCTGAGAATTGCGTGGGGGTTCTTGTCCAGTAGGGGATCCGCGTGTCTTCACTAGGTAAGTTCCATCTTCTTGGACCTTCCACCTTTTCGTGGGATCGTCTTTTAACGAATAACAGCAAACATACAGTAATTTAATTGTCAAGAATTTGTATTGACCGATAAAGCCAGTCCTATTCTGAGGGAGGAACTTCGATGCAGCGACTCCTCGTTGCTTTATGATGACATCTCGGCATTTAAATTCCTCTAGTTATCCTTGGGCCTATGAAGGGTCTAAAAATAAATTTTTCTCTGTCATTTCTTCTGGCAAAAGTCTATGCGAATTGACTGCGGCGATTGTTCCTTGATAAACTCATCAACGACATCTGCGACAACAGAGATTCTATGGGTTTCCTTCGAGATGACTGCACTCCACCGCGGAATTAGATTCGGACCAACAAAATAGGCGGATCAGGCTGTTATAAATCTGCCTTTGTTGGAAACACAACTGAAAGGCTGAGTTAGGGTTTGACGGTAGCGTAAATTGTAGCGCACTTTGGAATTGCCCGGTAAGCGAGAACTGCGAGTTCGAGTCCCGCCTGTGGCGAAAGTTTAGGTCATAACTCAGTATTCTTGTGGACCAACCGATCGCTAGACATTTTTTTCTCTCGTAAGCTGATTTAGCGTCACCCCTTCAGCTTCCTATAGATAAGCTGAATGCAAAGCGTGAGACGAAGCCAATGGAACAGATCAGAAGATAAATACAATGAGTCAGGTGATTAGCAAACGGTTTATGTAGATTACAGCTACTGCAGTTCCGACCTGCATTTTATAAATGCTTCAACTCCACTAAGCGCTTGTTCTTCTGAAGAAAGCCAAGACTGCCTTGCAACTTTGAATCCTTATTGAAGCCGAGTAATGAGGTTACAGCGCCTTTCAAGAGCTGAGGCATACTACAAACATATGTACCAATAGCACAATCCTTTACGCAGTAAATATCTTCTTGCTTGGTTACTTGAATAATTGCACAATGCTGAACCTTTTCCTGGGTTGGCTGAGTTCCCGTTTCCGTAGCTCGAAATAATTCGCTCGTCAGGAGCCGAACTCGCTCCACAAGCTAATGCGCTATGATTGTGTTATAGGTGGGAAGAAGACCCAGCGGAGGGAACATTATCACCTAATCAAAGAAGGGACATTGATCGCGCGATTGCCATGTTTCAGGACTAAAATTTTCTAACTCTTCCATTTTGCACATTTTGTTCGCAACTTTTTGGATTCAGTAAAACCAAAACCTTCCATGCGCTAGCATTTATTCCATTTTCTTGTGCTCACAATCGTAAACAATTAAATAAACATAAGACATCATCTTTATATGGCAAGCAAACCAATCAAAAAATTTCATTCACTGCTGGATCGAAACCATTGTAGCAATACCCTAAAAATCTACAGGATGAAGGGGAATCGAAGAAGAAGAACTATATAGTCGAAAGCCGGGTGGGCCGTAAGCGTGCGGGGCGATGTGCGCTTAGCAGTCAAGGGTATGCCCAGCGACCTAGCACGGCTGCATCCGCGCCGCTTGTGCCGTTGCCCACCCACTGACTAACTAACCCCTCGCCATCGGATTCTAACCGCACACTCTACGGCTTTAACAGAGACGTACAGCAGAGCGCTCACTTGATGACTTGATGGCTTCAGCACCGCAGAGACTCCAATACGGAACTCAAAGGGCCTGAAGGGGACCCATTTCTCGGGTTCCGGTACTTTTCTTATCCTTGCATCACTGGCCACCTCTCCCTTAATTTCTGAAGGCTCCTTTTCATTGTGAACTCTAATTTAATTTTGGATATGCGACGATACTGGTCACTGATTGCATCAGATATACCGCGCGGGGTTCGTGAATTTTTCAGATTTAGTCTTTATTTGAAATCATAGTTGATTCAAAGTTATATATTTGACCTATAAGTAGCTTAAAACGCCTGCAAATGTGCAGCACTGCTTTCTTACTTTCTGAGCTAGTCCTGCACCAGTCGGTCTCTAATCTGCGTGTGGCAGCAAAGCGCTATTCTAACCAAGCCATGAGCATGCTCTTTTCATGTTTTGGATGGCAGTAATCTTTAGCTTCCTGAAAATTACACTTGTAATCAGTAGCGTTTTCCCTCTCATTTGGCGGAGGACGATTTTGTTCTGATGAATCAGTCTCAGCGGCTTCCTCAAGGTCCGAAAATGTCTCTTGGTCGTTTATCACATCGCTTCAACCAGAACAAAAACAACATTTATCTATACTATTGCAAAGCTAAACGGAAAATCGAAGCGACATAGGCTTCGCTTGGTAGCTACTAACTCTTCATATTGTCAGCGTCAGAGTAAAGCCCCTAGAAGACTACGTCCGCAATCTATCAGCAAATGACAATGAAATGAATACCCTATGACAGTTGATTTCTGGAAATTTCTTCCCTCACTTACATTATAAAAGTAATTGTTGCTGATCAACAAGAATTTCCGGCTAATAAGCAATAAAAAACGAGTTGAGTAAATAGCCAAAACAAGTGGTTGCTAGTAGCGACTCAAAATCGAATTAATTTTTTAACGACAATGCGCCTTTTTACGTGCTGCCTGCATGGGACTCAAGGTCAACCGCCAAATGGTAAACTGCGCAGTTCTTAACGAGGGGTGGGGGGAGTCGTATTTAAGTTTCTTCGAGAGGGCCTATTAAAAAAGGATAAAAGGATAAAGCATTTGCCGTTGATCAATCCCTTTTTGGGATGCGGCACGCATTCTACTTCCATTTGTACATTCGTAGTGGCGTTTGAATGCGATGTGGCCTATACAATGACTTGCGGGGGCCAGCCGATGTACAAGTCAGTGTTTTTATCCTCCCAGACAAGTCTGGTACCAATTAACCGACCCCGGAGGGATGGAAGGCTTGGTTGGCCCGGGCGACTCACGACCCAGGATTTGATCCCCGGACCGCTCGCGTGGTAAGCGTGCCACTTGCCACTACACTTCCGCCCGAGCGGGCCTATTAGGGGTTGGGAAAGTCGAAAGTTTGGAAGAAGAGGGCGTACTTCTGGAAGTTGATAAATACTGCGAGGGGAAAAGGGTCGTTTGTAGTGGGTTCTCTAATAGCTTCGGTGGAACTTCGAAAAGTAAACATTAATTGGTGTAAGTAAAGGATTTTGCCTATTTAAACATATTTGCCCTCCCCTTTTTGGTCTGTGTCCATTGGTTTCAGAATCAAATACTATAGAAACAGCTATGCTGTTGAGGGTAGTGATCGTGGATGGGGAAGGGTTGTCGCATCGGGGACACCCTGATGGTGCTTGTGAGGAGACGTATCAAGATCCCTTCACAGAAGGGAGTCCTAAACTTTTCGGAACTAGAGCGATAGACCAGTGACCTGATGGGATCACTTCCCCCTTTTGGTGCACCCAATTATCAATTAACATTTTGTGGAATTATTCCAGGAGACAGTACTTCTGTCGTGTTTCCGAAATTATTGCAAAAAATGCAGCTTCTGTTCTCATATTTTATAATATCGCATGATTGGAAGCCTATATTAGCTAGAACTTGGAAGAGATGAAGGACAAAAATTTTGAAAGATTATACGTGAAGCAAAAATTTGGCACCAATCAGCGCCCTTGACACGATGTCTAAAAGAACAATCCCTAGCCAGACATTATTTTTTACGCTAATCATGGAAACCTTCAAAGAAGACGTCAGCGAGTGCTATTGGGCATAATTTCATATTAATTAGTTCGAGTTTTACATTTCTGCGGGCTGCACTAAGCACTGATACTGTGAAACCTGCAAGTAAGTGTAGGGTTATTGAAAATGTAATGAATTCGCGAATAAGGAAATATTACGGTATCATCCAGCATAAGGTGGCACTGTCGCCAGGGGGCTGAAAACGTAGATACTGCATAAGTGTGAGATTTTATGTAAGAGTCTATTGGAGGTACACGATTTTCATCAGAGAACCCAGAAATGGCTCAATTTTGCAGTTTACCTAGGTATCTAGATTTGCATTTATGTATATTATTGTACCAGGAGTCACGTACAAATTGATGAGAGTTCCATCAAATCGATTGATAGACTTCAGACGAGAGTATAATGGGGTAAATAAAACGCAGGGGAATCCCTCAACACGTTTCCGAGATTTTCACATCCTTAGGGTGGCACTATACTGGAAAAATGCTTCAAGCCATAAGTTGGAAGTGGTAGCCAAGATCCAGCCCTCCTTAATTTTTTTTGTAGCAAGATATCCAGAACCGAAACAATGCCCTTGGGATAAGAAGACTAGACTAGATTCCACAACAGCCTTATCCTTATCCCTGTCGCGCCTCAGTTACCATCCTTTGTTAGGTATGCGTGTTGACTGAGTTCAAGCTTCGACTAAGACGTAGCTGTCGTCACATAGGCCAAACAAAGGCCCGTGCCCTTGGCAGGAATCTAACTAATCAAGTGTGCATATCAAGCCTCCAGCCAGCATCAGGAGAAGGTGGGCCATTCCTTCAACCTCTTGCTCAGCAGCGTCGTCATATCCCAGGAGAAGGCCATTGTGGAAGCAAGAGAGTGAAAAGTCAAAACAAGCGGGGTTTCGTTTGTTTTACGGGCACCTCTGCGGCCGACATTCCATTCATCGTTGCTGCTGCGTTGAGAAATGTGCCTCGGTTATTTCACAATTTCTAATTTTCCAAAAACAGTACACCAGGAAGGGACGATTTTATCAGGCCCGACTTATTATCGCCATCCTTGCTTTGCCTATCGGTGTATAGCCAACGAATATGCGCATTTTTAAAGCCTCTAAGAAGGCAATTGAGACCAGCATTGTCTTCCCTTTGTCGAACTGTTATTGCTTTCAGAAGGTGGTCAAGTGAAGTGCTTCTGCGATCGCGATTCTTGCGACGACAACCTTCTGTGTCAAGGCGATTACTGTTTCATCGGACTGCGACGTGAAGATGGTGGTGAGATCATTCATTTAAGTCAATTATGAAACACTTTT